TCACATCTACACACTCAGCACTAGGGAGGACTCACATCTACACACTCCTTTCTGTGCTCCACAGCGTCAATGGAGTCAACTTACTCTCCACCATACGCTCAAGGTGGTCTTGAATACGTAGACTTAGGTTAGCCTTATCAAATTCAAGCAGCTCGGGCTGCAAGACAATTCTTTTATTGGTGGTGAGCTTTGGTTTTTGTTTTTTTATTTTTGTTTGAGAAAAAAAGTATCTCTACTTAGCTTTGACTGGCTTAGAGCTCAATGTATTCACCAGGCTGGCCTTGCGTTCATAGAGATCTGCTTGCCTCAGCCAAAGTCTTACATTAATGTTTACCACTTCTTTCCTTCTTTCTTCCTCCCTTCCTTTTGTTTATTTTTGTAGTCACTGTTTTGAAACAGGGTCTCATCATGTAGCCCTGGCTAGCCTGGAACTCATAGAGATTCTCCCAACTCTGCCTCCCAAATGTTGGAATTAAAGCTCTACACCACCATGCCTGCTTTTTCCTTTGTTTTTGAAACCAGATTTCTTCATAGAACCCAAGCTATTCTCCAACTCCTAGTTTTCTGCTCAGTCTTCCCAGTGATGGAATTAAGCAGCCACTAAGTCCAGTCGTACTTTTTCTTTACTAATTAATCAGGAAAAAAAAATCAGTCTCAGAAAAATCAAAGCTGCCCTCTACCCTATTTAACCTGGTTTTGGAACTTACTAAGAATGCTATGATTTTGGCAAGAGTATGGCAGCCCACAACTGTAATCTCAGCGTTTGAAAGGTCAGGGAAGGGCCGTCATGTATTCCAAGCCAGCCAGATTCTCAATCTGTAGCTAAAATTATTATTCTTTTAATGATTTATTTATTCATATTTTATATGCATTGGTGTATTGTCTGCATATGTTTGCATGATGCTGTCAGAACCGATAGAGTTACAAATGGTTGTGAGCTGCCATATGAATGCTGGGAATTGAACTCAGGTCCTCACCTTAAGTGAGGAAAATACAGTTCCAAACAAAACCTAATCTATTCTCTCCTCCTTACACCATTACCTCAAAGATACCTGAACTCCTGAGCTCGGATGTGCTCACCCCTGAAGTCTTCCTGTACTTCTCAACAGGGGGGAAAAATACAAGCAGGACTTACCATATTTGTTAAAGCAGAAAAAAAGCCACTCTGATGTTCTTCTTCCTTGTCTTTATACTGCCTAAAAGGAAACTAAATTAAACTTGAGAAATTTTTTTATCACATATATATTCAACCCTGACATTCTAGGGAATCAGGGCAGAGTACTCTTAGAATGTCTGACTCTAGAAATCTAAAGCGCGATGACGCTCTAGCCATGGCAGTTCCCCCGCAAGCTGAGAGGAAGCCATCTGCTCTTGAGGTACTGTGTACCAAATGCCTGGCTACTTTGGGAGAGACTTAGAAAGCAAGCTGCACACGTGTGAAACTCTCTAGCATATGGCTGATCCAGTTATTTCCCAAACAGATGATTACTTGAAAAGTATGGCAGTGAAAATTCTTTCAGGCTATGACAGTGAAAACCTTGTTTGTGTTTGAAGAAGGAAGAAAGTTGAATGGCTAAGACATCTGAGGAGATCGGACATACTTGAAGTTTTAAAACCCAAGTCTATGTGAGGAATATTGGAGAAGCAAGAAAGATCCTGCTGGCCTTAGTGGGACTTCAGTGTATCTGGTTTCCTTCATGGAACCTCAGATACCTTCCCTTTATTATGGGATGAAAAACAAGGATCAATTTATGAGACTCTGAGACTAAACACAGATTCTGGGAAGCTGAGTCACTAATGAAAAAGAAACATTTGGTTCAGGAGTGTACTTCTTAGCTTACATAAGGGCCTGGGTTCAACTCCCAGAGGAGGAAAGAAGGGAGTAAGGAAAATTTTGCACATCTATCAAATGAGACATAACTCAATGCATCTTCTCTTTTTATTCTCTTAAAAATTTTAGCCAGAGATGACTCATCAGTTAAGAGCACTGGTTGCTCTTCCTGAGGACCTAAGTTCAATGCCCAGCACCCATATGGCATCTCACAACTATCTGAAACTCCAACAGATCTGACAACATCATACAAACATACATGCAGATGAAGTACCAATGCACATAAAATATGAATAAATAAATCATTAAAAGAATAATAATTTTAGCTGGGCAGTGGTGGCACATGCCTTTAATCCCTGAACTTAGGAGGTAAAGGCAGGAGGATCTCTGGGTTCAAGGCCAGCCTGGTCTACAGGTGAGTTCCAGGATATCCAGGGTTACAGAGAGAAACCATGTCTCAGAAAACCAAAACCAAACAAACAATCAGAATTTTAAGGTAATAATGGTATTTATATGACACACTGGGTAAAAGGGTAAAGCCTGCTTTGTATCTATAAAGCTAGTGAAATGTGCTATAACAAAATAGCAAAGGCTGAAAAAGAATGTGCCTAATTGCTAAACCAGAGGTGGACACTAACTTGATGGGTGCTTTCCCTGGTGTTAGCAAAAGGCCCTGTGGATACATCAAGCTGAACTAGAACAAATGCTTCTGCATGCAGCTATAGCTTTAACTATTCTTTTGGAACATGTTAGGAATTTTTACCTAAGAATTCTAACAAACCTCTTCTCTACTCACCCCATTCAACTGAAAATTCTCCTTCTTCCCTCTGGAAAAGCACTTACCTGTTGTACTCAGATAAAGCCTGAGTGATCACAAGCCCCATTCCCTGAAAGAAAAAATACAACACTCTGAAATAAGCAATGAGCCTTGAGGTGTTGGTCGCATTGCTATAGCTCAGCCAGGAAAAACATTAAAGCCCTACACTCTGTACCCAAGATGTTCTGCCTGAGATCTAACATGAAGGACAGAAATTCTTAATAGAATCATGTTTGCTTGATTTGTCAAAGCAATAAAACTCCTAATCCAAGGGGGGGCTGGGGTTGGGGAGCATCCTCTTTGGAAAGATTGTTTATCTAGTTATTTTGCTTAATGTTCCCACCAACCTTTTAAAATTGAGTAACAAGAGACAAAACAGTGTAGGTTACTGACATTTCACTGGCATCATTTTCAGTTCTGAAAAGGCAATAAGTGAGAAGACTCAAACAAAAAGAACCCATAGACTACAAACGGCCAGAACAAAAGTGATATGAGTCTCAAATTACAATGAATATAGGAAAGCCACTCTCAGGAGATAAGAAAACAAGACAGGGAGCTGGTGGGACTGTTTAGTGGGTAAAGGATATTGCTATGAAGTCTGAGGGACTAAGTTCAATCCCCAGGATCCATAGAATGAAAGAAGAAAAATGACTCCTGCAAGTTATCCTTTGACATGTGTGCATGTGTGTATGTGTGTGCGCGTGCACACATACGTGTGTCTATATGCACATATACTTGTCATGTGTGTGACATATATTTGTAATATATAAGACATATGTCACATACATACATATACACACACACAAAAAAAACCCTCACACTCTAAATAAAAAGTAATTTTTTTGAGACAGGGTATCACTATAAAACTAGCCTTGGCTATCCTAGAACTCTCTATGTAGACCAGGCTGGCCATGAACTCAAAGAGATCTGCCTGCCTTTGCCTTTCAAATGCTGGGATTAAAGATGTGTGGCACCACAGCCATCATAATTTTAAAAATATAAAGAAAACAAGAAGTAAAAGGAAAGAAGCATGAAATAAATATTAAAATGACCGGCCCCATTTTCTTCAGAATCTAAAAAGCATACCATAAAGATCTATGAAGGTCACAAGGATAAGTCATACACATTGTTTTGGGGTTTTGTTTGTTTGTTTGCTTGTTTTTCGAGACAGGGCTTCTCAGTGTAGCCCCTGGCTGTCCTGGAACTCACTCTGTAGACCAGGCTGGCCTCGAACTCAGAAATCCACCTGCCTCTGCCTCCCAAGTGCTGGGATCAAAGGCATGCACCACCACTGTCCAGCTCCACATACTTTTTAAATAAGGGAAATTAAAAGAAACAAAAGGAAGTAAAACCAAATATCCGGTAACTTTTTCCTCCCTGTATCCAGAAAGCAAAATTTTAAGGACACATATAGCATGCATACATATATGTATACATATACATATGCATTATCCTTCATGTCTCAGACTCCTAAAGTCAGGCTAAAAATTGTAGGAATGTCAGGGCTGAAGAGATGATTTGACTATAAAAAGCCCTTGCTGCTCTTACAAAAGACCCAGGTTTAGTTCTCAGCACCCACATGGAGGCTTATAACCAACTTTAATTCCAGTTCTGGGAATCTGGCACCTTCTTCTGGTCTTTTCAGATACCAGGCAACACCCATGGCTGTCTGTGGCACACATTGGTAATCCCACACTGAAACTGAAGGAACAGGAACAGGAGTTTAAGGCCAGCTAGGACTACACAGTGGGACTGTCTCAAAAAACAAAAACAAACTCAGAATAAAGCACTTGCTTTCTGGGATTAATTTTGCATCTGTTTGTGTAGCACTGGAAATTGAACCCAAAACTAGGTAGTTATGTCCCCAACCCTTTTTCTCTTCATTTGAGATAGGTCACACACTATCTCACAGGATGCCTTAGCCTGCACTTTTCCTACCAGTTTCCATTACCAGCATCACTAACCCAGCTTCTCTCATCTTAATCTCCATTGGAAATAAGGCTTCTGCATGCAAGTAAGACAACACTAAGCCGGGCAGTGGTGGCGCACACCTTTAATCCCAGCACTTGGGAGGCAGAGGCAGGCGGATTTCTGAGTTCGAGGCCAGCCTGGTCTACAGAGTGAGTTCCAGGACAGCCAGGGCTACACAGAGAAACCCTGTCTCAAAAAAACAAAAAAAACAACAACAAAAAAAGACAATACCAAAACATCTAGAATCTAGATACTCACATTCAGGGTAGCCTCGTCATCCACAATAGACAGCTTCACAATGTATGGATTCACAGACTGTTCGAGAAAAGAGTGAAGGCGAGTGTGACCAAGTTAAGACAGACTGCTGGCTAATTAATAACACAAGTGCTTCTGCACGCCCTCTTTCCATGGTGATGTTCCCATCAGCCAAACCCAAAACATCCTGCCTGCTGACAGCCCCACTGCCAGAGAATCTTTCATCTCACCCAGGCATTGGCCAAGTACACATGTGTCCAAGGACAACACGTACACACAAATGTCAGCGCTGGTCTACCTGCATTTCTCTCTGGGTTGAATTAGCTCATGTTTATGTTCATCTACCTCTCCTATTTTTTTTTTACTTTCTTGCTTCTGAAAAGTGAATACTCTGAAAACTCAATCTGTTCTGTCCTGCTGAGTCCTCGGGGATAGCTGTCCTCTGGGAAAAATAACATCTTTCCCTTAAGACAAGTACTTGTAAGCTGCTAACTTACACTCTCCTCCCAAAGGCTCCCTAACCATTTCAGAACTACATGCAAGGACTGATTCACCCACCCGGAAAACAAAGCCACCTCAGGGGTGGGAAGTGGCATCTGCTTAACAGCCAGAGAGGCCATTTATGGAGTTCTGATCCCCACATTACACTGCAGGGGGTACTGAAGAAAGGATGTTATTACCCAGGCAACAATCTGGTCAGGACACTGGGGTCTAATGACTGTCCCATCACTTACAGCACTGGAGGTTGATTTGAGTTTTCCCAGATCCAGTCTCAGCTGGGCACATATTCAAACTCATTAAAGATATGACTACTTCTTAAAAGTGGGATGAGAGCCAATGACCTGCTCACCTTAAAAACATCCCCCACCCACAGGATATGAGGAAAGTTCTCTTAAGGACCAAACACCAATTCCAGCACAAGGAGGGCGAGTAATAAAAGTGTTAAGATTGGCAATTTTTTTTAAGGTTTTTTGAGACAGGGTTTCTCTGTAGCCCGGGCTGTCCTGGAACTCACTCTGTAGACCAGGCTAACCTCGAACTCAGAAATCCACCTGCCTCTGCCTCCCAAGTGCTGGGATCAAAGGCATGCGCCACCACTGCCTGGTCAAATTGGCAATTTTTACAGCTACCAAGAAAATTCATTATTAAGGAACCTGAAACCAAAACTGAAAAACTAACCACCCACATAGATCTCATTAAATCAAGTTTCAAAACACATCTTTCACATGTAAACTGGGAACAGAAAAAGGTTTTGCTTTCTTAACAACTCAAACGTTTATTGTGTTTTACATGACACTATAGACTGTCGTGAAGAGCCAATGCAGGTGGATCCTTGGAAAAGAAAACTCAGCAGTTGGCTGACCTACAGATCTCACCATGTTGACAGCAACATTAGAAAAAGCAAAGCTTCTTTTCTTTTCAAGACAGGGCCTCACTATGCAGCCTTAGTTTCCCTGACTCAGGGCTGGAGAGATGGCTCAGCGGTTAAGAGCACTGACTGCTCTTCCAGAGGTCATGAGTTCAATTCCCAGCAACCACATGGAAGCCCACAAGCATCCGTAAGGGGATCTGACACCCTCTTCTGGTGTGTCTAAGGAAAGTGACAGTGTGCTGAGTACTCACATACATACAATAAATAAATCTTTAAAAATAGTTTCCCTGACTCTTGCTATACTGCCCAGGCTGGCCTTTAGCTCTCAGAGACGCCTGCTGGCTCTGGCCTCTACGTCTCCCTCCTGTGAGTGGGAATTAAAGGAGTGTATGCTGTCCAGACACAGCACATTTTCTTGACATTATTTCTGCAAGTACTAGTCACTCACTTTCCCAAAAGAACACTGAAGGTGACAGGAAGGATTCAGGAAGCACAGAGTTAGCATATGTTTGCGTAGCAGTTGAGGAACAGGGAAGGTCTAGGCTCTAATTTCCCCATACTAATTATGACATGCTACACAAATTACCTAGCTTAATCTCCAGTCTCCTCTCCCTTGGTGCTCTGAGGCTTAGTTAAGATACATGAAACCTGCCGGGCGGTGGTGGCGCACGCCTTTAATCCCAGCACTTGGGAGGCAAAGGCAGGCAGATTTCTGAGTTCGAGGCCAGCCTGGTCTACAGAGTGAGTTCCAGGACAGCCAAGGCTACACAGAGAAACCCTGTCTCGAAAATCAAAAAAAAAAAAAAAAAAAGATACATAAAACCCTTAGCAGAGTATATGACACACTGCAAGCTCTTTCACTTTGTTCTATGACAGTCAGAGGAAGTTCTTCATTTTTAGTTTATGTGTGTGTGCATGCACATGAAGCCATCCATCCTCCTTTGTGACTGGGTTTCTCACTGGAACCTGGGACTTGAGACTTGCCAACTAGGCAAGGCTGGCTGGCCAGCAAGCCCCAAGGATCCTCTCGTCTCCTCTCCTCCACACTGGGATCACAGTGCATCACAGCACAGTGCCTTTTTCTCAGAGTGCTGTGGACTGCAATCACATCCGTCATTTGTATGCAGGCTTTACCAACAGGGCCATCTCCCAACCCGGGAAAGTTATTTATGAACAAGAGGAAAAGGAAAGAAAAAAAAAAGAATGAAAGAGAGAGAGAAGGGAGGGAGGAAGGAAGAGAAGAGAGAAAGGGAAAGGGAAGAAGGAGTGAGGGAGGAAAAAGTTTACAAATAGATACAATTTAATTTTTTTTTTTTTAAATTTAGGGAAACAACAGGCTCAGGGCAGTAGATGGGTTTTCAATCAGTTCATCTCAAAAGGCCTGGCCAGCCTGGAAGCCAGGATCTTAATCCTGTAAGAATCCCTTTCTCCTAAACACTAATTGCCTCTATAACACAACACACCCTGAGCGATTGTCTTTTTGAAACAGGAAGCAATCTCTTTTCATTCACAAGAGAGGATTAGAGAAACTCAGCCAGAAATCTACCACTGACTATACTTGCAGTTCCTTCTTTGTTAATTTTTTTTTTTAATTTGGGGGTCCTAGATTTCCGAGTTTTCCACATCAGTTTTCAATGTCTCTAAAACAGAAAACATTATTAAAATGAGGAATAATTGTACATGATATCCTTTCCAAATTTCTTTTTGTTTTGCTTTGCTTTGGTTTGGTTTTTTGGGACAGGCTCTCTCTGTGTTAGCCCTGGCTACTGTCCTGAAACTTGCTCTTGTAGACCAGGTTAGAACTCAGAAACCCACTTCCTCTTCCTCTCAAGTGCTAGGATTTAGACGTGCCCTAGCACACCCGGCGCTTTCCTTACTTCTTACACCTAACACATATCTGCCTTCTCTGCTTTTAGCTGGATAACTAGTCTCTGATACCTTTACCTCTTTCTAGAAAGTATTAGAACTTGTCCTACTGGTCATGGGCTTGACTATTGTAGTAGCTGAAATACTCTTCCAAGCACACATCCTACTGGTTTGCACAACATTTCACTGGCCTTTAACTTTATTATGTTCATATGGAATTTCTGGGTACCCTTGTCAAATCCGTCCTGTTCTATTGTAATTGGACTTCTTTAATAGCATCTGGTAAGTGACATATTCAAAACTGCAAATCCCAGAGAACTTATGTCCACCAGCCTTGCCCTTGCTGGGTATATTCATTCTTCTGGAGTTTCTGACACAATAAAGATAGAGAAATACGGATTTCCTCAGCTATTGGCTGGTTCCCATTTTTCAGGCTGACATTTCAGGACCCCACTGGGCTAAGCCAGGGTTCAGTTTGCACTTAGAAAAGCTAATCCACTGCCTCAGAATGGCTGTATCCACTAACATGTTGTGAATCACTCAACACTGACAACAGCACACTCCTGTCACACAGAACTCAACTTCTTAACTTCCTTCAGCTGCTTTTCTTGTTGTTGTAAGGGTCCATGAGTCCAGGGCATCATTCTTTGGTAAATCATGAACCCTTATACTGCTCTAATAAGGTCCCAGAAGCCCTTACACATGACAAAAACCATAATGGCTACCTCACCAGCCCTTCCAGATGGCCAGTAAAAACAGGTATTGGTGATAAACTACCTGTTTATTCATAGTCAGTTCTGCCAAAAGAATAGACGTGGCCAGCTCTTGGCATTTCTAGCTCATCAACATTGTTTCACACACTACTCCCTTCAAGTACTTTCTTCTCACAGCCTCTCCCCCTTCAATAGGCTACCTATCTCTGTCTATCTGAAGTACAGTCAGTGAGGCAGGCATGGTGGCACACGTCTGTGGGCTGAGGAGGCTGAGGCAGGAAGATTCCTGAAAGATAGAAGCCAGCTTAGGTCACAAACCAAGTACAAGGACAGACAGACATGTGGCCTAAACAACAAAGTCCTGTCCCAAAACCACGGGGGGGGGGATCCCTAAGAGCCAAAAGCTCAAAACAAACAAACAAACGCAAAACCAACCCCTAAGTATGGTAGCACACTTATAATCCCAACACTTGGGACGCTGAGGCATAGCTCACCACGAAGTTGAGGCCAGCCTGGGCTGTAGAGTCAAACTCTGTATTGAACTGAAGAAGGGATTAGGGAAGGGGGGGGGAGAAAGGGAAAAAGGAAAGAAGGGAGGGAAGGTGGGAGG